CCACTCCTGAGGTGAAGAGCCTCTTTCTCAGAAACCTAGGAACCTGGGTTTCTGCCCTCTGGAGCCACAGAACCATTGGGGTTCCTGAGTCAGGCCCCTATGTTTCTTTGGGTTCTTCATGCCCTGTATAGTCTATATAGTCATCTGTGCCTAGCAATGTAAGCTGGGAGCCCTGAGTCACATGCTCCTCTGTAGTTTGAGTCTTTTGGTTCTCATATTTTTGTTGAATTTGCTTGTTTTTGCTGTTCTAGGGCTTGAACCTTAGGGTCTGGTATATGCTTGGTAAGCACCCTAGCCCCCTCCAGATTCTCTCTGAAAGGTGGCTTCTCTCCTTAGGAGCAACAGTGACATCAGTAATGGTTTCTCCTGTGTAGTCTACGTGTTCTGCCTCACGTCTCTTTACAGACACCACCCACCACCACAGAGAGGAAGTGAGCGCTTCCTCTGTAGAAGGCAGGCATACTCACCCCCACAGTTGCTTGGCCTGGTAGAGTGTGACCTTGGGATTCCCAAGATGCCCTTGGGCATGTGCAGCTCCTTCCCCTGACCCCTGGGGAGCTGCCTGGTGAGGAATAGCTTTTTCTTGTAAACTGTCCAAGCCCAAGGACCCCAGCTGCACAAAGCCAATGTGCTTCCCATGTAAGCCTGGGTGCTATCTGCACTAATCAAGAGCATCACTAGGACTTCAGCTCTTGTGACAGGCAAGTTCCGTGACAGTTCTTTCAAATGACCAGGATCCTCCCTTTCTCCTCAAAATGAACCCATGAAGAAATGGTTTTACATTTTATTTTTGTTTCTTATTTTACCCATATGTCTGTGTACCACGTGCTCGTGTAGGCTAGAAAAGAGCCTAGATCCCTCGGAACTGGTATTACAGATGGTTGTGAGCTGTTATTGGGTGCTGGGAGAGAGGCAAATGAGAGCCATATGTGGCTTTAGACCCTTCTAAATATTTCCTGCTTAACCTAAACTGTTGCCTGTTCCTGCTCTAGGCCAGTTTGTTTCAAATGTTCCCAACACAGGGGAGGAGTGGAGAGCTGTGCTGCTTTGTTACCCTGTAACAGAACACAAGTTAGACCTGGGGCAGATGCTGCATAGCATTCTGCAGACCTGGAATGGTGGGGTGGGGCAGGGCAGTGGCAGCACTGAAGATAGCTCTTGGGCTATCTCAGGACAGGCAGCTGCTGCTCCTCACCTCAAACATAAGCTGGGGCTGAGGAGGCTGCTCCATGGGTCCTGTGAGGGGAGTAATAAGCAGGTACTCTGTCCCTGGGGGACACCTTCCCTCTCCCAGGAGGATGCTGAGGGCAGTGTCTGGATGGAGAAGGTGACCCTAGAAGTTTTTCCCATATAGAATTAGGATTCTCTAGGGCCGCTCTTTCCTGAGCCAAGTGTCAGCTTGGAGCCCCATATGGACCCCTACAAAAGGAGTCTCTAGTGGCAGAGGACTGAAAAGGTCGTGTGAACACAGTATTTCCCATTTTGAGCAGAAGCCCACTGCTCAGACTCTGCTGTCCCTGGGTGCAGGGCTACTGGTGCTAAAGTATAGGAAGCTGGCTGCCCACACTTCTTCATGCTCAGCAGAGAGGCGTAACAGCATAGAGAGCTTGGAGAGTGTGAGCTTTGGCTCACACCTGACAGTCCAGCCTGGGACTAGCCAGGATGTGGGAGAGCTTGCGAGAGCACCTCTCCCTGCACTGTGAGAAGAGCTAAAGCCCTGAGCTGTGGGAAGAGAAGTTCAGTGCCCATCCTTAAGTTCCATCTAGGCAGCTTAACTGACTTACCCTTAGCACAAATCCACTGTCTGCACACAGTCCAGATATGCTCTGGTAGCTGACTTCGAAAATTAGTTTTTAGTTGTGATGTTGAATGCCTTTAATCCCAGTACTCAGGAGGCAGAGGCAGGCAGATTTCTGAGTTCAAGGGCAGTCTGGTGTCTATATAGAGAATTAATTCCAGGACAGCCAGGGCTGCATAGAAAAACCCTGCCTCCAAAAAAAAAAAAAAAAAAAAAGTTTGTTTTAAATGTTTATGAGTGTTTTGCCTACAGGGACCTCAATAGCTTCAAATTCTACTTGTGTATCTGCTTGGACACCCTGAGTGACCAAAGGGAAAGTGTCCCAACTCCCAGTTGGGGGCCCTGGAGAAGAAATCATCATTTATCTATAGGGCTCCTTACTCAGAACGCCTTGTTCTCTGCAGAGCCTGATAAACAGGGCCTTGCCATTCCTGCAGTTCTCTGGGGTGTGTTAGCCCTTGAAGAACACAAGCACTTTGTTTTGTTCTCTGGAGTCAGCCTGGTCTCTGCCCCCTGTAGGGTCAAGGGTTTCTATGAAGAGAGCCTAAGACCCTTTCCTTGACTCAAGGTACCCCTACCACTGGTTCTGGCGCCTGACCTCCAGGAGGACAAACTCCTGGGGGTCTGGAAATCTCTGGGCTAGATCTCAAAAGCAGGAGTAGCAGCAGGGAGGGGAGGTAAAATGGAGATGATGGCTGTCAGAGTGGAGGCTGGATTAACGGACCATGACTCTCCATGTTAATCGTGGCAGGAAAGTGTAGTCAAAAATGGCTTTCACTGAACTGGGGCCAGTACTGTGTGCAGTAGGTACATAATAAAGTATGTTTCCTCATTTTCTCCTAGTACTGGAAAGGAGGCAGTCATGTGCCACATACAAGGTCTGTATGTGTTCAACAGTGGCCATCGAGTAATATAACAGCTGGAAAGTAGCTCAGTGGTAGAGCCCTTGACCAGCATGTACAAGGCCCTGAGTTTATCCCCAGCCCCACAGAACAAAGCCATTCCTGTGGTCTAGGAACATCGGCATACCATCATCGCTCTTAAGTCTGTAAAATGTACCCACTATGCTACCAGTTTAGCCCAGGGCTGTGGATATAGCTCCGTGGGAGTGCCCTTGCCTCGAATGCTCAGTCTTCACTACACAGAAATAAAGTATTTAGCACACATGGTCATGTACAAAAAACAATACCATATATAGTGATGACAATAGGGGCTGGAGAGATGCCTCAGTGATACGGTACACAATTGAGCTTGTAGAGAACTCAAGTTTAGTTCCCAGTACCCATACCAGGTAGCTGACAACTTCCTGTAACTCCAGCTCCTAGGGATCTGACACTCTTCTGGCCCACATAAGCACTTGTATTTATGTACACATACCCACATACAGATACATACATACATACATACATACATACATACATACAATTCAAAATAAATGTTAGAAAATTATAAAGTGACAGGATAGGTAGCTATTAATAGTTTATCTAGTTTTTCTTTATCATAATTTCACAGTTCCTTTTGCATACTAGAACAGCCTGCCCTGAGACAACCTGCTGGGTTGCGCAGCAGCATCCTGGTGGATCTCATGTTTGCCATCTCTTAATCGCATCAAGAGCCCCTGAATGACCCACACCATTTGGGCTTATTCTAAATGCACTCTGATGCTTGCATAATGGAATCGCCTGATAGCACATTTCTTAGAATGTGCCTCCGTTAAGTGATGCGTGATTGTCGTGCTGAAGTCAGTGGTGGAGGAGAGGCAGAAGTCAGAGCTGCTGCAACTTGCCCACAGTCAACCTGGAGCAAAGGAATAGTCCTGGGATCAGAACTTGATTGTGTTTCCATTCGGAACTAGGTTCTGACCCCTGCACCATCTGGCCTCCCTTTACACAACAGACAAGTGTGCGCTTTGGCTGCCTTTTCCCAGTCAGTCTGTCCTAAAACCTGGCTCTGTCAGGCTTCTGGACTTGCACACACAAACCATGACAGCAGAGCAGGCCCAGGTCCAGTGGGTACCCCACCCTTGCCCCACCCACACCCTTTTCCTTTGGCAAGAGCAGCTGTCCATCCTTCCTTTCTGCTATGCTTCAGTGTTTAGAATCAGGACTTGAAGCAATGGCTATAGAGATGTGCAGACACTTGCGGCGTGTACCTGGGGAGGGAATGCCTTGTGTCAGTGTGGAATTGTGTAAGAGCTGCAGGTGATACGGGTGGAGGAGGGGTTGTGACTGCCCAAAACCAAGAGCCTTGTGAATACAATATAATCCAGGCAGGGTCACTCACACCTATGATACTAACATTCAGGAGGCTGATGCAGGAGGATTACTATGAGCCCTGGAGACCCTGTTTCAAAGAAAAAGAAAGCGAAGTAAAAGTATAGTATGTGTCATGTCTGGGTGTGTACACAGAAAGTTGTTTCTCAGTATGTACTTGGGCCTGTCAATGGCTAAATGTGTGCTGGGTGGCCCTGGGTGTTGTCAGTGTTGCCTGACAGTGTGGTGAGTGTATCAGAACCAGTGCCACCTGCCTACGGCCACATCCTTGGCACCAGGTTAGGCCCTCCCTGGTGTGGGGGCAGGGCTGGTGAGCAGGCCCACACCAGGGCAGATGTCTCTGGTTCCTGGAACCACTTCCTAGCCCAGGGCCTTTCCCCGAAGCTCCCAGCTGAGCACTTAGGAAGGGAAGGAGGCCATGGTCCCTTCAAGGTGGCATTCCCAGCCAGCCACACAGGGAAGCTGGCCTAGGAGACAGAGCGCGTCCTCTAGTCCTCCAGGCTCAAAATGCAGAGTCAGTGAGTGTATGCTTCCCACAGGCCCTCAGGATGGCAGAACCTGTCTGTCCAGCTGTGCTTCCTCCCCAGCAGGGGGTTGGGAGAGGGCCCAGGGCCTAGTGGCCTGGAGTGTGCAGGGAGCCATCTGAAAGGGAGCAAATGGGCAGAAGCGGTTTTCTTTCCCCCTATGCCTTCCTGCTGTGTGCCCAAACTGTCCCTGTTATCCTTGGCCATCTTCCCCAGCAAGTCTTGAGCACCTTGGAAGGGGGAAGAGCCCAGTTCTCTTCTCCCCCAAGAAAAACACTGAACCTACATAAAGGGGAAGCAGGTGAAGAGCACTCAGTGTTTGCGGAAGAGCCAAACCCTGGCATCTTGTGGTGAAGTAGCCACTCTGTGTGGAGGGGCCACTCACCTGGGATCTTCTCCCTGCAGGTAATTGAGGAGTTCTACAACCAGACATGGGTCCACCGCTATGGAGAGCCCATTGTGCCCACCACACTCACCACGCTCTGGTCCCTCTCGGTGGCCATCTTCTCCGTCGGGGGCATGATTGGTTCCTTTTCTGTGGGCCTCTTTGTTAATCGCTTTGGCAGGTAAGCAGGAAAGGTCCCAGCCCTGCCTTGGGGAGCCCATGCCACCCTGCCCAGGGAGTTCTGGGGGAAAGCTGGGTGGCAGAGATAGCCTGACCAGCCTCATCCCTGGGGTGTCTGGGAGGTCCTGGGAGCTGGCTGACCTGTGACCTGCCCCCAGGCGGAACTCCATGCTGATGATGAACCTATTGGCCTTTGTGTCTGCTGTGCTCATGGGCTTCTCCAAACTGGGCAAGTCTTTTGAGATGCTGATCCTGGGCCGCTTCATCATTGGAGTGTACTGTGGCCTGACCACTGGCTTTGTGCCCATGTATGTGGGAGAGGTGTCACCCACAGCTCTTCGTGGAGCCCTAGGCACGCTGCACCAGCTGGGCATCGTCGTTGGCATCCTTATTGCCCAGGTAAGCCAGTTCTGCATCTGCCCACCCAGTACTGCCTCTGCGCATAGCTCTGGCCCTCAGCAGAGTTCAGCAGAGTAGCGCAGAGCTTCTCTCCCCGCCCTGCCTAGGACAGCCTCATAGTAGACAGGTTCCAGAGCACACATAACCTCCACCCCGCACCAGCCTAAGAGCAATAGTCCTTGGCCTTCTCATCTCCTTTCATCACAGGGGCCCCACTTCAAAGTGCTGGACTCTTGGGCCTCCAGGCCTGTAAGCCTTCATGCATGCTGTACCTTCTCTCCTCAAGGTTCCTCCATCCTGTCCGTTTTATCCTCCTGTAGCTGAGTAACAATCCTACCAACTAGACACATTTACATGTGGCCTTGTCCTTGTAGTAATTTGAGCTAGCTTTACAAATGAGCGACAGGCTCATCAAGGTCTCCCCTCTTCTGGCAGCTGGTGGGCAGGGAAGGCAGCTTGGTGAGTGGGATGGGTGCTTGAGTAGGGCCAGGGCAGGGGCACTCACAGTCCCTGGTTTCTTTGCCCAGGTGTTCGGCCTGGACTCCATTATGGGCAATGCAGACTTGTGGCCTCTGCTGCTCAGTATCATCTTCGTCCCAGCCCTGCTACAGTGCATCCTGTTGCCCTTCTGCCCCGAGAGCCCCCGCTTCCTGCTCATCAATCGCAACGAGGAAAACCGGGCCAAGAGTGGTACGGGCTGGGCCCTGCCCTCCTCCCTGCCCCCCTGAGCTCAGTCCTTTTTCCCCACTCTGAGCCACCCCACCTTCCCTCCGGTCCCACCAGTGCTGAAGAAGCTTCGAGGGACAGCCGATGTGACCCGAGACCTGCAGGAGATGAAAGAAGAGGGTCGGCAGATGATGAGGGAGAAGAAGGTCACCATCCTGGAGCTGTTCCGCTCAGCCGCCTACCGCCAGCCCATCCTCATTGCTGTGGTGCTGCAGCTGTCCCAGCAGCTGTCGGGCATCAATGCTGTGAGTACCCCACCTACCCCTTCCTGTGGCCCCGGCCAAGTCCAGGCTCAAGTGTGCACCATGAGTGAATCCCAAACACAACTATAAGCAAGTTCTGCCAAAGTAGTATACCTATGGAACCAAAACCTATGGCAGTATTGACCTGGGACCACCACCACCACCACCACCACCACCACAATCACACACGCACACGCATTCATCTTGAATCCCATACCCATTGGTAACTAGTGTAGAGGTAGGAGAAGCCGTAAGCACGGCAGATCGCCAACTGTCTCCCTTTCTGGCAGGTGTTCTATTACTCAACGAGCATCTTCGAGAAGGCAGGCGTGCAGCAGCCTGTGTATGCCACCATCGGCTCGGGTATCGTCAACACAGCCTTCACTGTGGTGTCGGTGAGTCCACTTGCTTTTGGTCAGCAGCCAGAGTCCAGCTCAGGGCCTCATGACAAAATGACAGCCTATCCTGGGAGCCAGGCTTGTGTGTCAATAAACTTGTGTGGCTCATTACTCACGCTGTGTGGCAGACACAGACACCCAGGGAGGTGAGAAAGCAAGACTTTTCCTAAGGTCACAGTCAGGATTCCTTTGCTGTCTGAGCCCCAGTGCCACCTTTCACCCTGTTACTGGTGGACTCAGAGGGCAGGTTTCTGCCCTCATCCCCTGTGAAACCCCCAAGCTTCAGCCTGGTGGGGAAAAGTGTTGTTTCCCCAACTAGTGTATGCAAGGCCTTATATTTGGCTATTGAAGTGCACCTCTGTGCAGGTAGGCTCCAAGAGGCATCAGACCAGGCAGAGAGAACCTAACTTTTTCCTTGTCTACAGCTGTTCGTGGTAGAGCGAGCTGGACGACGGACTCTGCACCTCATTGGCCTGGCTGGCATGGCAGGCTGTGCTGTACTCATGACCATCGCACTGGCCCTGCTGGTGAGTGGCCATGACCTGGAAAGCCCAGGGCAGGGTGGGAATTTAGACAGACCCACGCTTCCATGGCTGTAGATTCCACCTGGATTTAGATAACAAAATGCCCGTGTTGCACCCAACCTAGCCTGCTCCATGTGGGCGTGCCTCTGGACCAGGACCTGACCTTGTGCTCCTCCCATTTTAAGCTTTCTCTTCCCTGGTTGGGGATTTCCTGACCCAGCACATCTGGCTGGAGAGCCCAAGATATGAAACTGCCTTGCCCAACACTGAACCTTGGAAAGCTTTTACCTATAGCCTCAATTCATCTCCACAACAGCCCTCAGCAGTATAATGGTCTCTCCTTCCTCCATGCCACAGAGGCACACAAACACACCTGTCTCCATTCTGCAGACCAGGGCTGTGCAGTTAGATATTGTAGCTTGAGCGTCTCTTTCCTGAAGTGCTCAGGCCAGATAGGCCTGAGTTACTTTCAGACTAGGACTGGTCTAAATGCAAAATTCATTTGTTTCGCATGTGCCTTCCACACATAGGCTGATGACAATTTATTTATTTATTTATTTATTTATTTATTTATTTATTTATTTATATCATGACTGACAATGGTCAGGTGTGGAATTTTCCACTTCTGGTGTCATGTCACCAGCACTCAAAAAAACTTCAGGTTTGGAAGCATTTTGCATTTTTGTTTTTTCAGATTAGAGATGTTCGCATCTTTACTCAAACTAAGTCTCATGTTGGATAAGGAACGAAGATAATTGATAATTGACCAAAGGTCGGCTGGTCCCAGCCTACCACTAATCACTATGACAACCTGTACTCTGCAGGTGTGCGTGTGTGTGTGTGTGTGTGTGTGTGTGTGTGTGTGTGTGTGTGTGTGTGTATGCACGTACACACACACACTCCTTTTTCCAAACCAAGTGAGGAAAAGCACCAGGGATAGTCCAAGAGCACTAGAGGATAAGCACAGAGTAGATCCTTGTGAGACTGAGACCCAGCAAAGGCTACTGGGGTGTCTCAGTCACTTCTTTATTGCAAGGCAACTTAGAGAAGGCAGCATTATATTTGGGGGTTCATCTATGACCATCATGGCAGGGAACATGGTAGCAGGCAGGCAGGCATGGCACTAGAGCAGTTACTGAGAGCTTACTTGCATCCTTACCCACAAGCAAGAGGCAGGGAGAATAGCTTCAGTCTTGAAACCTGAAAGCCCACTCCCAATGACACACCTCCGCCAATGAGGCCACACACCCCATCCTTCCCAAACAGTTCCACCAACTGGGGACCAAGCATTGAAACATTAGCCTCTGGGGGCTATTCAGACCACCACATTGGGTTGTGTAACAATCTGGGGGACCCCAAGCTTCCTACCTTTCAGCCCAGACTGGAGACCTCAGCAGTTTTGTTCTGAGAAGCCATCATTTCCCAATCTAACCTGACCCCATCTCCATCTCCCTCCACAGGAACAGCTGCCCTGGATGTCCTATCTGAGCATCGTGGCCATCTTTGGCTTTGTGGCCTTCTTTGAAGTAGGCCCTGGTCCCATCCCATGGTTCATTGTGGCCGAGCTGTTCAGCCAGGGGCCTCGTCCTGCTGCTATTGCTGTGGCTGGCTTCTCCAACTGGACCTCAAATTTCATCGTGGGCATGTGCTTCCAGTATGTGGAGGTGAGAAAACACCTTCTCTGTCCATTTCCCATCATGCTATCTGAAGTGCTCACCCGTGTTATTCAAGCATCATGCTGACGTCACCTGGCCACACACTGCCCAGTCCATGCATGCATGCTCTTCCCTTAGTTTCCATGCTATTTCTGGAGTTTGTCACAAGTCAGTTGTGAGCAGTCTCTTAATTTTGCTAGTACCCCTGGGTGGCTGGTAACAATTCCCTTCTTCAGATCAAAGGCTCAGAGGTCAAGTCCTTTTAGCCAGGACAGAGAGGTGACAGATGTCTGTTTTCCAGCAACTGTGTGGCCCCTATGTCTTCATCATCTTCACGGTGCTCCTGGTGCTGTTCTTCATCTTCACCTACTTCAAAGTTCCTGAGACCAAAGGCCGGACCTTCGATGAGATCGCTTCTGGCTTCCGGCAGGGGGGTGCAAGCCAAAGTGACAAGACACCTGAGGAGCTGTTCCACCCTCTGGGGGCTGACTCCCAAGTGTGAGGAGCCCCACACCCAGCCCGGCCTACTCCCAGCAGCCCCAAGAATCTCTGGAGCAAAGGCAGCTAGATGAGACCTCTTCCAAACTGACAGATCTCAGGCGAGCCGGGCTTGGGAGCCTTTCTTCAGCCAGCGATGATGTCCGGAAGAATATTCAGGACTTGGATGGCTCCAGAATTTTAATGAAAGCAAGACTGTTGCTCAAATCTGTTCAGATAAGCAACAGGTTTTATAATTTTTTTTATTACTGATTTTGTTATTTTTTTTTTATCAGCCACTCTCCTATCTTCACACCCTAGTCTTCACCTTGAATGGCTCAGTGCCTGAGGGTGGGGACAAAGCCCTGTCCAGACACATGCCTTCTTCACCAAGCTAATCTGTAGGGCTGGACCTATGACCAAGGACACACTAATCGAACTATGAACTATGAGGCTTTACCCCAGGAGGTGGTTGCTGCCACCCCCTTCCGCAGGCCTGGATCTCCCCACCATAGGGGTCGGGCTCCATTTTAGGATTCGCCCATTCCTATCTCTTCCTTCCCAACCACTGAATTAATCTTTCCTTGCCTGAGACCAGTTGGAAGCACTGGAATGCAGGGAGGAGAGGGGAAGGGCCAGACTGGGCTGCCAGGTTCTAGTCTCCTGTGCACTGAGGGCCAGACATCACCATGAGAAGGGCCTCGGAGGCTGAGAACTCACTGCTGAAGACACGGACACTCCTGCCCTGCTGTGTATAGATGGAAGATATTTATATATTTTTTGGTTGTCAATATTAAATACAGACACTAAGTTATAGTATATCTGGACAAACCCACTTGTAAATACACCAACATACTCCTGTAACTTTACCTAAGCAATATAAATGGCTGGTTTTTAGAAATGTGGTTTCAAAATGCTTGTGGATTGGGTCCAGGCAGGTTTGGGTGGAAGTGAGAGAATCGAAACAAGGCTGTAACCATGCAGTGGCTTTGGACTTCCTGGCTCAGGCTCCTGTCAGTTCTAAGCACCTGTTCAATGTCTTCTTAATTGCTGAAAAATCCGTATGACCTCTGACCCAAAGGAAAACCCCAAGTTCTCTGTCCTGGCAGTCAGCATTTTCATCACATGTTATATTCAGACTGCTAACTGCTAGCCCTGATACTCAAGCTTAGCATCATCGTGAAAGTGAACATAGATGTCCTCTTTGACAGGCTTTAACAAATTTGAAATGGATGCAATCTCACAGCACACACGCGCCACACTTTGATAACTCCTTACTCCAAACAAAATGAGCTGTTCACACTGTCTCAGTGAGTTGTTATGGTGCCTTGTATCCAAGGCAGCTTTCTTATTTACAGAAACCAGAGGCCACCTGAGGAGGTGTCCAAGGTGTCTGGGCAGCACTGAACAGGTAGGCTCTTCCCACAGACCCGCCTAAGAGGCACTTGAAGGGACTTTGCTGTGGCAGTGTATTCTCCCACCTGTCTGGGTTTGTCTGGATTTTCAGCATCGTCCAATGTAGGGCTAGGCACTCAAAAAATACCCTTAGTAGAGCACCATGGGCAGCCTGTCTCTAAAGGTTACAAGACCTAGAGGGAATTTCCTTTCCCGACTACTATGCAGACAGCTATAGAATCTCAGCATGACTAGGAGATTAAGGATTACTCCAGACCCCTTCCCAATCGAGGAACAAAGCTGCTGTGGCCAGATGAGAGTAGTGTGTAAGTAGTCAGTAAGCTTGCAAGGCCCGGGAACCCACCTCTGCAAAGACAGGGCAGGTGGGGAGGACTTCAGGAGAGGTCAGGGGCGTGGCAAGGAGGGTGGCCTAAGGCCGGAAGACCTTCAGGTTCGGGAGAAGCTGGCATCACACGTTCGGTGTCCAGGACTGAAAAAGCCAAACTCCCGCAGCCCTCCCCGACCTGGTGTCTGCCCTGTCTCCCAACGCGATGACGCGCAGGCGCAGAGAAAGGGCCGAGGTGACAACATCCTCTGGGCCACGCAGCAAGGGCGTAGTCAGCTCACTGATGCACCGGGGGGCGGAGTTAGATGACGTCTTCACCAATCAGAGCGAGGGGCGGGCTCAGCCAGGGAGGAGCACACCTGTACTGCATCAGGTGAAGCCTTCGATTTCTGATAGGAAGCCAACAGGTACCGGGGTTGCTTCCAGGCGCCCTTCTCTTTTCACCAGCGCCTAGACAGGTTAGTACTTTATCTGCCTCAGTCTCCCTAGAAATCGTCCGAACTCGGCGGCAGCCTATGTTTTCCTCATGATGCTGCCCACCCACTGCAGAGTCGACGGTTCTTCCGCCAGAGCAAGGAGGGACAAGGCTGAACCATTCCTAGATCTCAGTTTCCACCAGAGAATCTGGTCAAGACTTGAAACGAGAGCACAAGAACTTAGTCTGGCTTCCCAAACTGAATTTTTCCAATGCAGTTTTGGGCTGGAGAGCCGATTCAGAAAGTGCATTCATAAATAGGGATAGAATGTCTATTGTCTTTTGACAAAACTGCATATTCATGGCCCCTCCTCCCATTCTAATTGTCTCTCCAGTCCCCTGCCAATTCAGCTGCGGGCAGTAGTTCCGGACCCTTACCCTTTCCCCGAATTACAAATTACGCAGCAACCTCCTCATCCCTCTCCTTTCAGTCCAGGTTCTCATGGTAGTGATGCTTCTAATATTTAGTTATGTCACTCTCTTTTTATAAACCTTTTCTGGGTCCCCCTTTCCCTTCAGAATAATAGTCATCTTTCTTTTTTATTGCATGTATTACACATAATGGGTTTCATTATGGCATTTTATGCATGCGTGTAATGTATTTTGATAATATCCACCTCTATTACACTGTTGTCTTTCTCTTGCTGAGCCCTTGCCTCTACCTAACTAGCCCCTCTCTAGTTTCATTATTTTTTTTAATTTTAAGAATTTCATTATATTATTGACAGTGGTGATGGGGGCACGTGTGTGTGTGTGTGTGTGTGTGTGTGTGTGTGTGTGTGTTGTGTGGAAGTCAGGGGACAACTTGTGGGGGTTGCTTTTTTACCTTAGGTTCCAGGCATCAAACTCATTGTCAGACTTTGGTGGCAAGCACTTCATGCTGAACCATCTTGCTGGTCTTTCCTCCTCCTCCTCCTCCTCCTCCTCCTCCTCCTCCTCCTCCTCTTCCTCTGCCTCCCACCTCCCCTCCTCCTCCTCCTCACCCATGAGTTTCACTAGAGTTGCTTATAGGAGCATGGGTGAGAGCTTGTTTACAGGAGCATGGGCGCCTTGCCAGTGACTATACCTTGAAAAAAATATCAATTCATCCCTCATCAACGATTAACTGCCTCTAGGTCTGTCCTCCGAGAAGGGTGGGGTCCCTCTCCCTCCATGAGAGGATGTTAATGGCCCAATGTTGTATAGGTAATCAGTCAGCTGCTGAGTTCAAGAGTGATACAGCTGGGCTGAAAAACTTTAAGCAGTTTTGAGTCTGCAGTGACTGCTGCCCACTGCATGGCGCTTCCCTGACAGAAACTAGAGGTGGCACTAATCTATGGGATAAACATAATTATCAGAAGGCATGTCATGTCCATTTAACAAAACAACAGCTATAGCCTCCCACTAGGGCCTGTGAACTTTCCAGCCACAGGCTTTGAAAGAGCCAGACATGAATTTTCATCCTGTAGAATGGGCCTCAGTTGCAATCAGAAAGTAGTTGATAATCCCCATAGCAGAGTTGATTCAGTTGTATCCGTGGACACATCTTAATTCCCATCTTTTTTAGTATGAAAATTCAGGGCTCTTGGTGATGCCCCTCTCACCACTGCCCCCCACCTCCTCCCATTCATACCCTCCATAGACCAAGCCCTCTGTCTTTGGCTACCACGTCCCTTTTCCCCTCTGGGTGTTTGGGATACACTTCACACAGATTCCCCTCCCCACTGCTCCTGATTCCCATTCAGGCTGTCATTCTTAAGAGGAAGCGTCCAGGCCTGGCCTATCCATTCATCAGCACACTGCTGCCTACTAGTGGCTGGTGGGTCAACATTTAAGTCAGGGCTGGTTTTAACTTCTGCCTTTCTTGTTCAGAGAATAAATGACTTTGGAGGGTCCATTTGGTCACTCTGTTCCACCCACTCAAAATGATTTCACTAAAGCAACATCTGTCATATTGTCAGACAGCTTAATACTCCTCGTTGCATGATACGGTCCAAACTTTTAAGCAAATTCGGATTCTTAGAGACCACACAATGTGCTCCATGCCCTGTGCTCCAGCCAGGCTGATAACTCAGCATTCCCTAGAAAGCTCCTCTCAGTACCTGTCTTAATCTAACACGTTTGCTCAAGCTTTTCTTTTACCTGGTCTGCTTTGTTCTGTTGTTACCTGAACTTTTCCTGGGGAGACATTAACAATCATTTATGCACCCCAGACAAGGAACCAATGAAAGAACAAAAGTGCCCCTCAGCTTAGAGAACCAATGAATTTATTGGCCTTACTTCCAGGGACATAGGTGACCCCTAAATAGCCATACCACAGGATTCTCCCTGAAGCATGGGTTATGAGTTATCCAGAGCTTCAACAGATGGAGTCCCCATTTCATTCAATTAACCTTCCCCTTCTATAAACTCTTGAGTCTTCTCAAGACCACGGGTAGCTGGGGCAAAGTTACATACAGCTTAGGGGAGGTTCAAGAAAGAGTGGCTAGGACCTCAAGAGAGGATCTGAACACTTTTCCACCCATCCTTATGAGGGAACTCCAACAGGTCCAAACCCCAGGGCCACTTATGAGTCATCCCAGCTGCTCTGAATGAGCTGGTTGGTGATGGCTAAGCCAGGTGCTGTGGTACGTGCCTGTAGCGTGACTGGTAATGGCTGCTCTCCTCAGAGGACAGCATTCCACATCTGCTTGTAATGTGGTGTGGTCGCAGGAGACCAAATTAACTGTCACTTTCTCTGTGAAGCATTTGTTCATTCCTTTGGTTCTTCCGTAATCAAGCACACACTCTGTCACACATTCTCCTGTGTCTGCACTGCCTTAGGAACGAG